ATATGTTTCCTTTGGTTATTCTCTTCCAGATTAGGAGGATAGCTTTGCACATTCTACCATGCCTTAGCAAGTATTCATAGGGATGAACCTACCTGATAGTTTAGGGAGTGGTTCCTTAATCTGCGCAAGCTCACCTTATAATCCCACACACCGGGATTACCATTGCTACTTATGGGCCTTTATATACCCATCACTATCCTTGCCAAAATTCTATTTTTTGCTTTGTCCAAATCAAGTAGACAGATTCTTCCTGTCTCTACAACTTTGGATGTTTGAATGGCACCTTCTATCCATCATTCACTAGGGACTTAGTCCCTTAGGCCTTATTTAATGCCCTTGTGACACCAAACACCACTTAACACTTATGCAACTTAGGGAAGGTTAGTATGACACATGTCTTGGAGCTACACATAGTGGCCTCCCATGCCTCACTTCCGTCATCAATAGTACGTGATGAGTGAGAACGAACGAGATGCCTTTAAAAGAATTAAAGAATAGACAGATTTACATAACATATAATATGTATAAGATGAGCATCTCTAGCAAATTTCTCCAGTTGTACCTTGAAGCATTGTTCAAAAAAAATGCAAAGAGTAAGACAAGCATCCAGATGACCATTGTGTTTGTGGTGCCATATAACAAGAGGATCTACCTCCGGAACTAAGTGACTTGTGCAACCTTTCTGAGCCACCCAACTTCGACAACACTTGGGCCATAACAATCCTCTTCTAATGTTTTCTGATCAGACAAGTTGCATCAAAGAACTTCTTAATTTCATGATTGGAGTTTAGACTATGACCCTTTACAGGAGTAGTGACAACAGAAGTAAGTGAAGTTTTTTTTTTTTCTAGATTCTTGAGAGTCCAGAGCTGGTTGCCAGAATCTGGTAATTGAACTTATAGATGTATACTCTTTCTCTTGGTTTTGAAGGTATTCTTAATCAACTTAGTTGCAAAGACTAATGAAGAGCTCATTGAATTGCTAAAAGACTTACTGGTGGTGGGGAGAATGCAAAGAGAGACTCTCCCATTCTTTTTTGACAAATTGTCAACTACCAAACTTAGAAAAGGATAATCCCAGGATCTTTGCCAATAATTTCTTCCCCTCTTTGACATGGCTAGAGTGGATGCAAGTGCTGAAGCTGCATTTTGCACTTACAAAGTTTCTGTGCAGTGACGAACATCATAAGTCATTGTTCTATTATTTTATTTTTTTTAAATGTGTTGTTCTAACCCAAAGTATGTATGATTGCATTTTTTCATATTGAAAACATTCTTTACTTTTTTCCAGCGGAGCTGGGATCCCTGCTAGTATAATTTTAACTACAACTTACTAATGATCCATCCAAGTTAATAACTTAAAAAATATGGTATTCATTTTTTGGGTTTGTGTTTTATATATGTTATTTTATTAAAAGAGACTATGGATTAAAACCATACTTAATTCTATACATAAATTAAATTATTTTTTATATATAGTTTAATTTATCATTGTAATCCATAATATAAACTTGTATTGATTAATTTAACTTTTCAATCACTTTAAAAATTTCCATTAGAAATATTAACTAAAGTAAACTAATATTATGTACAAGATAATAAAATATTATTTTTTGTTCTTTGAAATTACTCTCACTAACAATACACCTAAAATCATAATTTTTTCTCATTTCTTATTCTACTATTTTCAAATATGACTATTTGATTTAGGTTTAATTGGTTTATTGATCTAGTATATATAAAAAACATTTGTAATGTACTCTTAAATATCTATTCTTACCTTAAAATGCCACAATAATTTTAAAATAAATTTTTATAAATATTTTTAATCTAATATAATTTTTATCAAACTTATTGCTACTAAAACTGTAATGTTATAATTTAAAATTTTAATGTTATTCTTTGAGCTAATAGCTAATATTTTTTTTTCTTTGAAATCTTCATATAACTAGGATATTAATAAGAACTGGATTTGAACTTTTTATATGTATGACATAGCTTATACTATATTAGATAACATGTCATATATTGGGCATGAATGCATAATTTTATTATAAAGCATCAGTACAGGTTTGTATAAAGCTTTACATGAGCTTCATCTTTTGTTTCAATATTGTTTTATATCAATCCATACCTAAGCATAAGGAAAATATCCTGTTAGTTCAAATGGTAAACTAAGTATTTTATAAGAAAAAGTTAATATTTTTAAAATAGAATAAAAATTATATGTCACATTTATGAGAAAAATACAATGGTAAAGATAGAAAAAATATTTTCTTAAATTTTTATATAAGATATTTTATAAATTAAAAATATTAATACACGTGTAAAACCTTTCTAACCAGAATATAATTTACCAATAAATCAAGAGTATGTAACACATTTTGTAAATTATAATATTTAAGATAACTACTACAAAAATTAAATGATGAACAAACAAAATATTTGAGAAAGTAAAACTTAGAATAACAGGAATGAAATTTCATAGAAATTAAATTTTCAAATATTAAAAATACTGTTCTATGAAAAGTGATTTAGGTTAAAAATTATGCTAATGCCACCACCCTGGCCCATCAGTGCATAATTTAGAGATGTCTTTCCAGCACCCTGTCGTGCCACTTGATTAGTAACATAAGTGAACAGAATAAAAAACTACGTGATTTAGCTATGCAACGGTAAACACCAGGCATATAGCTCAGAATTGCAGACCAATTTTGCTACACTACCTACACTGTCACCAAAACTTTCCACAGCCAAGTCAAAGTGCAAGTCTCTAAGGCTAGAGCAAGACTGCAAAACACAACATATCAAGACTAATCAATTCTCAATTATATTACCTGGTAGAGTTTCCTCCAAGGATCCCTTTGCAACTGAAGCAGTCCCTGGGATCCACAATGCCCTTCATTTTGTTCATGGTGGGCTGTCAATGTCTCCATAGATAGTAGCTCGAAGCCACATGATGTGTGTGCATTCCAAAAGAGAGTTCACATGTGTGAATCCATGGTGAAGTTGTAGAGGAACTATTAGCCTCGCTTGAGAGGACACTGTGTGACATAGCCGGGCCATTGAACCAGGGATTCCTAAATTGCCAGATTCCATACTTGTGAAAGAGCATTAGATCATAGAATGTTTTGGAAATTTTGAGACTGCTCAGCACCAATGGATCAACATCTTGCCAGTGTTCATTACTGTGATGAGAAGCTAGTGAGGTGGCTGGGAAGAACAAAGAACATTATCACTATTAATGGCGAGCTCCAAGGACCAACGATCTATGCCAACGTCAGCTGAGCTTACAACCTGGGTGGTGGCAATTTGATGAGCTTTGGATGCATATTTAAGCAAACTGACCTGGAAGTCATAGACTTTGGTTGTTTCATTTGAGCAGCCACCAGATCATAGCTCCAGAGAGGACCACAACTATGAGGCAAGCACTTGAGATCACACTTGTCACTCCTTGTCCACGCTTTGTGGGATGTTGATCTTGTCTGCAAAGATGCTAGGCTCTGCAAGCTCCCAGAGAATTTAGTTGTGTAGCTTGTGTCATTGAAGAATGGTTGGATCAGAGTATTGGGTGTTGCAAATGCGAAGGATTTCATGTTGCAGGCGATGTACTCGAGCACAGCAGCGGTGGTGGTGGTGATGTAGGGGATGCACAGACATGTATGGCACCATAGACATGAAGTAGCACGCACATGGCTGGTTCTTGGTGATGATGATGGTTGTGATCTGCTTGGGAGTGAGGAGAATCAACAAAAATTCAGTTAACTGCTTATAATCTCTTTCACTTCATGTTTTTTTCCTTGTTTCAACCTACAATTTTATGAGCTCTTCAAAGAGCTGTTGTTTAGGTGGATCACAATCATTCTTGCTGGGGTGCAAGACTTGTTTGAAAAAAAAATGCTTCATAGCAAGCATGGACACAACTTCCTGTCTAATATTTCCGTCAAAATAGTGCACAAATGGGTGAGTTATCAAAACAAAAAACCCTTAAAGCAGGCAAGCAAGAATGTAACGGTGACCTTGTAAGACAATTGAGAAACTTAGAAACAAAACCAAACTTTGGCATACCAAACTATTAACTCTGAAGTAATAGCTTGTGCCCCAGTGGACATGGTGTGCTTGAATGTCCAATCTACATCGAATAAGTGTGAGAGGCTGATATATATGGAGAGCAATCTGTGAGCACAAGTTTGTGAGCATGGCAGGATGTGACTTTTTCTTTGGAGTAGACATCCACACCTGTCAAGCATATAAAATTGTAATAAGTCATTGCCAACTTTAAAAAATGGCTCATGTTTGAACTTCGAGAACACTAACATCGAAATTTCATCATTAATTTGGCAATTCTTGTTAACTTTGATAATCAGACACTTGATCGGGAATGTTGAGTTTAATTCAATACAAAAAATTGTGCATTCACTCTTGCTACAAAATTTATAAACAGAATTGAATTTTGTCAATGTTGTGCTAAATGTGTTGCTAAATTATGCTGCTGGATCTTTGGAATGAAAATTTTATTGAACTACTGCCTCTCATGCCTTAGGGCTGCTAGAGAGATGATTCATCACCAACAGGGTGAGCTAAAAATTACAGTGGCACAAATAGTTATGGAGGATTCAGGGACAATCTTGTTCCACCAAGAACATAGTAGGTCCTAGTAATTATTGACAGCCTCAACATAACAGCAGAGGAATATTATTGTGGCATTCCAAGGTGTTATTTCTTGTTTTTCTGGACAATACATGACAAATCAAATTTATTTGATTTGAACATTATACTAATGATAACATGGTTTTAGATTTGAGAAGATTTGCTTTGTGGAAGTCGTTTTAAGGACTCTATTCTATTTCTGAGATTTACTTTTGAGACTATTTTACAATTTTGCAAAAGTTTAATTTGAAGGATTCATGGTAGGCAATGAGAATCCTGGGTAGTGGTCCTCAGGAGATGCAAGAGGAAAGCTTCTTGCCTGAGCCAATAGTGGTGATGCTTTTTGCTTACTTGAGGCATTGCTGCTTGTCCAAAGCAAAACTTTTCTCCTCCCAGGTATTCTGCAGAGACTCTGTCAGCTCGTTAAGGTATAGTTTACCATTGATGGAGAGTTTTACTGTTGGCTCTGATCTCACAAGACCCATACTTCACAAACTACTTTGACTTTGAAGAACTTCAATCACTTTAATCCTGGGTAGTGGTTTGATCACGTCCTCAGGAGATACAACATGAAAGCTTCTTGCTTGAGCTGCATGAATAGTGGTGAAGAAACGTGTCTAAAGAATAAAAGGTTGTCTTTATTTTCAATTTTTTGCCATATTTGGTAACTCCTGCCAGTTCAAACATTCAGATGCAACAGAAAAGATAATGTAGGTGAATAAATGGACATCAGAATCAAGAAATTGAATAGCCTGAAATGAAATTCGATTTGTGTGAAGTCATCATATCTTTTGCCATCAGAGGTTGAGTTTGTCTCCTTTTATGATTTTTTGTTTACATCAGTCTTCTAAAATCTTCCAATGCTATCTGGAAATGGATTTTTGTTCAGGATTTGTGTGAGGTTTTCAAAGCTTAGCAAATAAATTATCTGTCAATTCAGGCACATACCTTTCCTCTTCTTGCCTATCTAGCCAGTGCTGTGCCATCTGCCACTGAGAGTTTTAGAAACCAGGCAGCGATGAGAGAATATACAGTTCAAAAGCACCTAATTCTTTGATGTGAAATTACCAAGTCGTTTGGTCATGTGTATACTCTCATGAAGAGAGTATCTTATTTTTTGTACAGCAAGCAGCATCATTCAAAAAATTGTGGCAATCCTTTGGGTGAGGAACTAATTCCAAGCTTTGAGCCCTTTTTCAGTGTGTCATCATGTCATAAAGAGTGATGTCAAGCTACCAACACTAGACTGGCATACATGACCAGCTAAAAATGGGAAGGCTGTATAATATAGGGGCTATACAATATAGGTCTTCCATTTCAAAAGGTGCATAAGAGAAGATCAAGCTGGCAAAGGCACTGAAATGCACAATCACAAGGATAAACTACATCAGTGCTATGGTTAAAGAGTTTATTGTTGTGACTGAGTCGTCAAAGGGTACAAGTTACATTATCAGAATTTGCAAATAATCCATCTTGTACCTGTCTAGATTTTACACAGAGGGGGAAATAGGGGAAAGGTATATTTAGCCTACAAGCACATCTATTATATTTTTATGTAGGAACTAAACCAAGATCTTAAGGTCGACCATCGCATCCATCAGGCAAGCCTTACAATTGTAGAGCTTGAGAAGTGTTTCTAGATTGCTTTTAGTGTTCAGATTTATATTTATATTTGTATTTTATTGGTCAAATTTACTTGGAAATATAGATTAAATCAAAATTTGAAAAATGAAAAGATGTTAATTCAGAATATACAAATGTTTTCCTTGTGTTTGAGAAGTCATGAGCTCAACTCATGAGCTTATAAGCTCAAAACCTACTGTAGCACACCCTATCTCTCTCCCCTTAAACCAACTAGAAAAGGGGCAATTGCTTGATGAGAGAGCCCTTAGTGGCTATTTTATCCCCATTTATCCCCTAAGGTTCCAAGGATCCACGGTGACAGTATATCCAAATCTCATCTTATGATCACATGCGCTACACCTACCCAGGTTCGGTTTAGCTAGTTTAACTGCCTCAGCTTCTTTCTTCCTCTTTTTGTTTTCCTTCTTCAATTTGTGAACTTCCCTTCACAAATTCTTGATCTCAACTTCTTGAGCCATATGCTGTAGTGCCGCAGCATCTAGCTCTTCCTCTTTTGACTCAGCCTCAGCCTCTTCTGTAGCATCTCTAACAGGAGTTTCCTCTTCTTGATTTGCCCATCTAGAGGTTTTAGTGTCATCAACACGATTCTTTTTCACCATCTCACTAATTGCATCCATGTCTCTATCAATAACTGAACATGCATACAACGATCTTACAGAATGGTGCAATCCAACTAATCCTACACAGGTCACTTTGGATCTACTAGAAAAGTCTCTATGTATGCAACTTGAGTCAGAAAATCGAACAAAAGTTGGATAGAAATTGCTAAAATAATCGCTCTGATACCAAATATAGTGCACCTAAATTTGGAGCCAAACTCCAAGCCTGTTACAGTACGAAACAAGGGTCCAATACAATCCCACGAGCACCAGCTCCCTATATCTAGCACCTGCACACAAAATGGTGTCAAACAGTATTTGGTATAATTTTGGCATACCGGTGGCCTAATGTGAGGAAGAGAGTACCCCATTGACTAGAGCAGCATGGAGCTTGGGCTTAGACCCAACCCAAACGCAGAACAAAGAGCAACATAGCTCAGTGGGAGCCAAACTAATGTCTTAGATGGTCAGACATCCATTCCAACCAA